AAAATGGGCCAAGTCATAGTGATCTTTATGTTTGTGTTTGGACGGATGTAACACTGATTAGGGTTATATAAAATTAGAATACCAAAATGTTTAGGCTTCTGTTCGATCCTAGAGAACCGTAAATGATATACTGTATAATATGCTTTCAGAAATACCCTATAGATAGGTGTACCTTGGTTGACTTATAGCCAATATCTCAATCACTGCGCACAAGCAATAGGCTTATAGCCGAGATGTGGGTGTGTGCACAGTATGTGTAGAAGTAGTAAATGAGTTCAGAATGTGTGTACCCGGGGGTCTTAAGCCTTGTATTTATAGGGGTTACCTCTTGGGCTGTGTAGATCTTCCAGTTGTACTAGGATTCAACTCCTTTTCTGTTGGGATAAGGATTCTATACTCAATAGCTTTATTATTTCATATTATTAGGATAGTTGAGTAATTATCCTTTAAAGGATTCTTGGGTAGGTAGTTAGGATATAGATATATTCCATAACAGTTGCCCCCAAGCCCGGTATTGCGAAGCTCGGAATGTCGGGGTGCTGAAGTATTATCTCGAACTCGGTCTGGCCGAGTTCATTTATTTGGAGATTATGCTCCTTTATGGTTATGTTGATTAAGGTGTGAATCCGACATTAAAGATGTCGGTCGGGTTATAAACTCACATGGAAAATCTTTCCTTTTCTTATTTCTGCCGAGGTCTCCTTTGTTGTATTTGGCGTGGTGTAGATTTCGGCCATCATGTCGCGGATAAGACCGCGTCTGGCCCTTGTCTTGTCAACGTGACCCTTCACTTATTTCTGACGGTTAGGAGCTCTATTGTTTCATGCCCATTGAAGGTTCGTGCGTCGTGGACATTGCGCCGTCCTGAACCCATGTGGGTCATGATTGCGCATATTGAATGCATGGGAATGGTGATTTTACTTCCTTGCCCTTGATTTCTTAACCGTTTGCAACCCTTTCGTATTAACGCATGAGGCAAGCGTTTGCTTTAAATTCTCCATTTCGCCTCGCTTGCAAGGTTTCACTTCGCTTTCGCTTCTGGTGTTTTCTTTTGCGTCTCCTAACTTCTTTGCAAGATCATTGGAGGTTTCTGAGTTTGTCTGTTCTTCCTTCCTTTCCTATAACAAGTATTTTCTCTCCTCTTTTCTTCTTTTGCCATTAGTTTGAGTAGCGTTGTAAGGCTTTTCAGTATTTCTCTATTTCTCTATTCTCTGCTGGGTCGGGACCTTGGTTTACATCCCTTCATTGTATTCCCCTATGAGTATTTTTAAGCAAAGTTCTCTTCTGGGGCTGATTATGGATGCCCCTGGTCCATCTTCTGGCTCGACTGTTGGCCGAGGTGATGGAGAAGAGATTGATGAAGAAATTGTGAAACATTTACCTCAGTCAGTTCAGTATTGGTTCTATGGTAAAGAATACACCGAGGAGGAGAAGCTTCAACATCTTCTCCGAGGCCATCGTGGAGGTCGCCGGAGTTCCCGAGGTGGACGCGGCAGGAGAGGGCGAGGTAGGAGAGGAGGAGGGGAGCGTCAGTCTCAACTTAATTTTGGTAGGGATGGACCTTCTCCGGTCTCGAATCCCGTAGTTCCTCCTGGGCCGAGCTCCCCTTGTGATCCAGTTCCTCTATCTTATATTTTGCTCTCGCCTCAAGTTGCTCCAGGTACAAGATCCATTCTAGATCGGATCCCTTCCCTCGGGCTCAGCGATAGTTCTTATAGTTCTTCCTCATCCGAATTAGGTTTTTCGAGGTCCAAAGCTCCTTTTACCCTATTATGTGATTCGACTTCAAGTCAAGTGCCCTTTGTTGATCTTGACAGCAGTTCTGATAGTTCTCTCCCTTTTTCTTGGGTAGGTAGTTAGGATATGGATATATTCCGTAATAGCTTCCTAGTTGAAAACATGATTCTTGATATTTCAAAAATTGTTATGCTTGCTTCGGTGTTCCTGCAAAGGTTGAAGAATCAAGATCTTTATCTGCAGTTCATATCACTCCAGGTTCATAATTATCGATAGGGCAAGTTGTGGAACTATGGTTTCCGCATATCGTGAATGCATATAGGACTTAATCAAACTTATTAATCCATTTTCTATCATGGATCTATGAATTAGGCCTATATTGTTACCTACACTAATCAATGTTACAGATGTACAAATTCAAACAAAAGAATCACTTAAAAAGGTGAACCTATATAATGCACTCTGAAATAAGGTGGGCCTTTTTTATTTTATTTATTTTATCTAAAAAATCATAATTTAATCCATTTTTATTAAAAAAAAATAAGGAATACAATTGATTGCGGCATACAATAATTATTATACAAAATAACATGTAAAAGAACCCAAGTACCTAATTAATAAACAACTGCTTCACACACATACACGTAAAAATCTAACATGACAAAGAACAGGATACCTAATTAATAAACAACTGCTTCACACATATAAATTTTATATGAGATTTTATTTTCTGATGTTGTTAGAGATAATTATCTTTTACTATAAACACATGATATGGTGGGATCTACCATCTATTAATAAAAAAATGGTGGTATAATTTTTGATGTAAAAACAACATGAGATAGTTATCTATGTAAAATGAGATAATAATTTCCTATAAATAATTACATTATGTTAAGTTTCTGATAAATAAAGTGATAGAATAAAATATCAATTAGCTAGTATTTAAATTCAATTGAAATTTTTAGAAATTTGCTTTAGGATAACGCTCAATATAACCATTACATATAATCAAATCCTACTTATATTTGGTGTAAGTAGGATTTTTTTTTTCTAAAGTAATTTCATTTTTGAAATAAACAATTAAGAACGTATTTAATTTTAAATTTTGTTAGATTAAAATTATATTATACTTTAAATTAAATTTAAATTCTCTTTTTAATTAATATCAAAGTAGAATGAGCAAATTATAAGCACATACTAGAGTTAGAAATTTGTTGAGGCAAACTTGTTTTTGCTAACTGATGATTGCGGAAAATTAGCTGGACATAGATTGATCGAGTAATTTCAATTGTGAATGTAAATTGCGTTTTTTAAAATTTATTTCAGTTGTAATAATTGTACCACAAAATTAGATAATATCTAAGGGCAATCTCAATTTATACCTTCGTGAAGTATACTTACATTAGCATTAAGAAAATGGAATACTTGAGGAATTTAAAATTTGATTTTTTTTTATTAAAATGGATTTTTTTTAAATAAATTGCTATTTTTTAGTATAAAAAGAAACTTCAATTGAAGTGTAAATCCATGTCCAACAGACAATATACATGTATCATATTAAATAACACGAGAAGATCTATTTCTGAAATAACCACGAAAACAAAATTATATATCTAACAATAATATGTTATTTAATATGAATAACTTTTCGAGAAAAGTGTTACAAATCATTACTAATCAATCAAGGAAAGATATGCATAAATGAAGAATATAATCAGTAGAGAAATTTTTTATGCTTTTGCACGTGTTTCACGAAAATTATTTTGTACTTTTCTGTCTAATATCTTAGTACGTATCAGTATAATTTTGAAAAATATCTTAACATCTAAACATATTTATGATTGTAGATGTTACTTTTTGGCTTCTTTTTATGCGAAAGGCTTCTTGTTGTCAACACCCAGTAAGTTGAATAATCATCACTTATCCTAACAAGCTGACAAACACATAATTATTCCACTAAAAGTTTTTATATTTTAGCTGCCACATGATCATGGAAATGGTATATCATGTAGTTAAAATTAAAATTTTACCTAAAATTGAAATGAGGATAAAAAATCATAAAACGTAAAATTTTAATATAATAAAAATGGTAAAAAATCGTAAAAACATTTGAAATTTTGATGAAATTGTTTTGATTAAAAAAATCATAAAATCATAAAAACATTAATTTAAATCAGAATTTTAACCACCATAAGTATACCCCATCTAGAAACAAAATAATAGCCACAAATTTTATACATAGAAGTAGCAAGGTCATTAAGCTCATAATTATTTAGTTTTTCATGTCTTTTAACACCAATGATATTCTTTTTCCTGTTCACTGTTTCCTTTAAGACGGCACTTTCTTAGAGTAGGATGATAATTACATTAAATTCGTCGGTGAAGTATATCTTCTATAATCCGTACCGTGAAATGTGAATATCCTCTTCATTGATCTTTATTAAGAATCTTGAGTTCACTATCCAAAAAACTAGTTTTAAAGATGAGAGTGCCCAAGTCTTTATAAATCTCATATTAGTTGTCCATACAATCAATATGAGACTATATTTCTCAACACGCCCCCTTATAAATCTCATATTAGTTGTCCATACAACCAATGTGAGATTCTATTTCTCAACAAGCCCCCCACACGAGAGCTTACTGAGCTTGAAGGGTGGACAACATACAAGCCCACCTACATGTGGAAATTCCACTACAAAGAAAGTGGGAGGCGGTGAGATTTCGAACGCTTTGATACCATGTTAAGAACCTTGAGGTCACCACCCCAAAAGCTAGCTCCAAGGGTGGAAGTGCCCAAGGCCTTATAAACCTCACATTAGTTGTCCATACAACCAATGTATATATTTCTCAACAATCTTGATACGCTCTCTCTTAGAATAAAATGTTTTTTTTTTGGAGATATTAGAATAAAATGTTAATGGTTACAAAATAAATTATTGTTAGTTTAGCTTTCTTATTACTCGTTCACTCTTAATATTCCACCTTTCTATCTGAGTTATATATTCTGTTTCTTGTTTACTTTGCTTTCCAACAGATTATGTTCTATATGAGTGATGTTCTAGTGTAAAACTGGTAATTATTACGACCGGAACATAAATTGTGTTTCAACTGCTAGCTAGAAAGAGTATTGAGAATAATGATTCAATTTGTTATATAGAAATGCTCTAGCTGTCTAGCATATCATTGTGCGCTAAGAGCCTAAGAGAGAGAGAAATGCATGTATATGGAGGTGCTTTCACAATTAACATGCATGAAACTAATCAACCTAGATAGTTCACTATCATCGACAAAGGAACTAAGCAGAGACCTTTGTTCTTCAGTTCTGTACATTCACTATCCCTCTCATTAAAACCCGGTAGTTCTTTCCTCTCATCTCTTTCTCCTGAGGTATTTCCATTCTCCTACAAAACAAAACAAAAGGCAACTTATTAGTTGAAAAATGCAGAAACCATTCACTTCCACAATTAACATGCATGTATGGAAGGCCACTGAAATAAATGAATACTCCATTTCATTAATTCTTGGCAAATTAAGGTGATATGGTAAAAAAGAAAAAGAAAAAGGAATGAAAATTATTTTGGTTACAAAGTAAATATATAGTCTTTGTTTATATACATGATTCTCATGTATTTTCTTTTTCTTCCAAATAAACCAAAAGATGATTTAAACAGAATTTCACTATAAATTGAAATGATCAAACCTGAGAAAGGTCTATTCAATTTCGTCCTTTTGTTTCACCTTGTTTAGCTGGTTCTACCATTGATAAATTATAGAATTAAATAAGTTACGAATTGAACTTAACTTTTAACTAATTGAAAAGAAAAGACAATGTAGGGAGAAGAAAAGAAAAAGAAAAATGAACCTTGGGGCTAGTGATAGGAGAACTTGCAGTATCTTCCAAAGAGTCATCAACCAAAGATGTTTTGGTCTTCTTCTTCTTCTTCTTGAAACTCAATCTATTACGACACTCCTCAGCTTGTGCACTGTTAACTAATGTTTTCGTAGGAGCCAAGGAAGCAGCATCAGAGACAAGGGATGAGGAGCTATCATGATCAACACCAGAGAAAGTCATAGAACATTTCTGATCATTAGTATTTTGTTTGTTAAAGAAATCCTCAAAGTACATAGTCCAACCACTTTCCTCTGAGGACTCATTGGTCATATTCTTGGATGAAGGAACTTTGCTCATGGAACTCATTGAAGCCACTTTATCTATCAGAAATCTAACAATAGAAGATGAAATTAAAAGGGTTCGGCGGCCTGTTCTAAAAAGGCAAGTCTCCAATAGAAAGCATATGTAGAGGTTATATTTTATATGAGATTTATTTTTCTTATTTTGCATAAGACAAGAGCAATGTTCTTACACTCACAAAAGAAAGAGAAAGAAGAGAGAATAAGCAAAAGAGAAAAAATTTAAGGTGGATCTCACATGAGATTTCTTTGTATAGAAGGATTGTTTTATCTTATGTAACATAAGAAAAACAAATTCCCATTTTATATTTAATAAACGACGAGGAAATCTACATAAATATGATATAATATTTGACGACTTTGGAACCTTGGGTGGGACATAGAAGTGGAGGACTTTAATTAAAATTAGATGAGAGAGAGCATGTGTGGGTGTGTTTGACCTTCGTGGTTGGAGATATAGGGCATATGCCAACAGAGATTTGCCAAATTTTCCTTTATATAGTGGTCTTAACTTTCCACTAATGCTTTGAATTAGTCATTTAGTCACCCTTGAAATGTTTGGAAATATGTTCTTTCGGCTAACTCATTATTCCCTAATGCTAAAGTTTCCGTAGAAACAAACATATCGAAATTGGATAGTTTGTATTAGGTTATGTATTTAATTTCTATTAATGTATATAAAAAAAAAATTGCTAAGAAACTGTATTCTAATTCTAACAAGGCTGTCATAACCAATTTCTCTCACACCACATCCATTTTATGCCCTTCAACGGTGATTGTTTTTTATCTCGAGCTAATTATTATTATTTTATTTCTTAAAGTATTCTCCCACTGATAGCTGAAGATTAATTCTTTCGAAGTGAAAGATCACATTAAGTGGGTAAATCTCTCCCAACAAAGTCTTCTCCATACACATGGCTGTCAGCATGCTTAAGAAACCCAATTATCCTGTCAGCATGCTTAAGAAACCCAACTATTTACTAACTGTGCTGGCCTTTGTTAGTGATCTAATTATCTCTTTAAAGCGAGTTGGCCCCCACAAGTTCTAACTCTTTGAGCCGATTATGTGACTATCCTAAGTCGGGACTTAATTACAGTTAAATCTTTTCATCCCTTTTCAAAAATATAGTTGGTGGGAATCGAATTCAAGTTTTCTCCCCCAACTGTGATTCTTTAAAATAGTTAAGAAATATATTTATGGGTACAAAGCCAAGTTTCAGTGTCGGTCCAACTGTTAAAGAACATATATTTGGTGTGTGTATTTGTCTCCCTATGTTATGATCCTCTTTGTCTTTTCCTCCAAATTTGAGATTGTGTTAAACATTGTTAAATTGTAACCGCATGATATATGTCTGCTTTTTGCAAACATATGTCCCCTCTTTCTTTAGCTATCATTTAAGTAACTTTCAAACTTCGTAGCAGTTCCCCAAAATTTTGTAGTTGATGTTAAATAATTAAATTGCAGTTTCTCTGTTTCGAAATTAAAAAAAATAAAAATTTAAAAAAAAAGGAGAACTAGACCAAAAAAATCAATAAAAAACAAGAGAGAAAGAGAAAGCAGAATTGATAGGTGTATATTCGTCTCGAAATGACTACAAAATGGATAATCATTATAAAAATAAAATAAGAAAGAAAGAAAGGAAATTGATTATGTTTCCACTAGTTTGATCATAAAAATTAGAGTAAATATCTTTTTTGGTCCTCAGTAAATTTCATGATGCCCGTTTTAGTCCCTAGCAAATAAAAAGGTCCATTGTGGTCCCTAAAAAATTCAAAATGGACCTATTTAGTTGGAATTGTGGTCCCTCACAAATTAAAAAAAAAACGCAAATTAGTCTCTAAAAGAACTAAAATGGGTCCATTTTGAATTTCTTAGGGACCACGACGAGCCTTTTTATTTGTAGGGACTAAAGTGATCATCGTGAAATTTGCTGAGAACCAAAAAAAGTATTTACTCTAAACATTAATTGAGTTAAATTTTAAAATGGTAATATATTTTCGCTCTCTTATTCGTATAACTACTTTTTTACGGGTAAATCGTATAATATTATTTTTAAAATCCGTTCTTTATTTTGTATTTCAATAACAGCTAGTGCACCCACACCACTTACGTATTTTGAATGTCAATATCACAAGCCACAAGGTTAGGAGGAAGATAACGAAAACTACAGCCTTAGCATTATCCACTTGTTGCAGCAGAATCTTAAAAATCTCACGAGAAGTCGAGAACTAAAGAGAAGTAATAGCGTTTGTTTTGCTTGCTTTAAGTTTCTTCCTTTCATTTAATTTAGGGGTATTATCCGTTGAAAAAAAGATAAAGGCATCATCATTGAATGGAATGATGTATTAAGAGTTTGAGTTTATTGACTTAAGGCATAAACAAACATAAAAGTAAAGTAGGAATCGTTTTGAAAAGAATAAAAATAGTTGATGACTTTGGCATTTGTTGTTACTTGTTAGCCATTTGTTTAAGAACTTTTTTCGGTTTTCGCCGACGTTACTTCACAATTGTTTTGTCTTCTTGGCCTGCAAAATCTAGGTCATTATAGATCCTATTAAGGAGGCTCCACTCTTCTCTTACGTGTGTTTGTGTGATACTAATTTTAATTTTACCACAAGTTTACTATTAGCTTGCCCCGTATTGCCGACTTCAAAAGTTGTAATTAATTCTTTTGCATGAAAAACCATTACGAATTTAATCAGCTAGCTAGGTATCGTTTCTTTAGTTTTTGTTTCATGGTCTTCTCCCTTTCCAATGTACCCACACAAAAAAAAAAAAAAAAAAAAAAAATTCTCATGTTATTTTTCTAGGAATGTTTTTTTGTTTCAAATGGTCTAAACCATAACGAGGATTTCTTTAAGTTTCCTTTAAAAGAAAGGTAGTTGTCTGAAAGAGGAATAATGCTAGGTGTATATATAGGGCCACATCAATTTGTTTTTTTTTCCTACTATTTTTACAATAATCAAATCCCTTTCTAATTAAAAATAAGTCCTATGGTCGTTAATTATGCTATCTAATTAATAAAGTTAATTAGGTAAGTAATAATTTATATATGTAGCATGATATTTTATTAAGTTAGCATATATATTATATATTAATAGACTCAATAATAAATTTATTTTATTCAAATTCCTTAATATAAATAAATTGATTATACAATAATGTATTTAAATAGATTAAAGTTATCACTTAGTTCATGAAGATGCTTTATCCATTGTATTGTCAAACTGCATATATAAATCGTTAGTTATGTCACTAGTTTCTAGTAGTAAGTAGAGGACAAATTAAAAGAAAAACCTAATTTTCTTAATTAAAAATTTGAGGAACTACTATTTGCGGTTGGTAGCTCTCAGGCAACATGAAAGTACCCGTACCTAAATTGTAGGACATAATCATGAAATGATGCAATCTGCATCGAACAATTTCGGTAAGATGAAGGACCATCTGCAATTTAAACTCAACTACAGCAAACTTCAAAATGATTTAGGAGAAAATGGTTTGACCAAAAATAAATGGACCGTGGCACACATGCAAAATTGCTAAAATTTCAATGTGATTGACCCATTTTGTCTAGGACAAAACACATGAGCCTATACCATGTCTGCCATTGAACTTTTCGTAACTGAAGTTTTTTGTGTGCAAATATTTATTAACCACCACTTAGTTTAAGAATAAAGGGGACATGATCACATGAGTCATGAACATATATAATTATCAATACAAGACCCGAGTCTTCTTCTAATTAAATACAAGAACGTTTAGAGGTTACAAATTGCTTAATTATCATTTAGTATCTTGTATAACAATGTTGCTTAATTATATGCTTCACCTACTTGTTGCTGTTTTTTTTTTTTTTATCTTCAAAAAAAAAAAAAAAGGTTATCCTTATGCGAGACAATAATTTCCCTCTATTTGTTTAGTTGTAAATTCAAATAAGGAAAAAAATTAATTAGATGAATCTTATAAATGTCAATGACATGGGCATTGAGTTGAGGCCACTACTTAGTGGGGACCCAACTAACATGATTTCTGAAGAAATTTTCTAAATTTAGGTCAAAAATCAATATTTCCTTTTCAAAGATGTAATCTAATCAGGGATTTCGGTTATTGTTAGAGGAATGGCTCTTTCAAAACTTAATTATCCTTGTCAGGACTAATAAACATATGGATGAAATGGCACATATATAGGTCATTCATACACGTGTGCCATACCCGTGCTTTTAACGTGCCAGCAGGTGAAGCATATAATAAGTTCCATGTACACCTACCCAAATGATCACCGACACTTTATATCTTATATTTCCCTATTATGTATTCATAATTACGGTACAGGATATCATGTCTACTTTATTTATTTTTCTTTAATATTATTATATCAGAATTTCACTCAATCTTTATTATTTTTATTTTCTCTTCAGATTCTGATATAATTATATTGAAATGAATAAGTAGAGTAAAAATAAAAAAATATATACACAGTATCGTATTCTTATAGTTATTATATACAAATATAGACACGCACGCACTGACTCAATCATTTGAATTATTTCAGCATATAGCTGCTGCTGCTGCTTTTTTTATTTTTATTTTCACTCTCACTGTTTACTTATTATTTAATCAAACATATTTTAAACTTCGTGTCACCATTTATGAAAATATCAAACTTTGTCTATATATTGTCTAAGAAAAAGAAAGGAGGGTTTTTAGATAAAAGAATAGGAATTAAAGGGTACGTAGCTAGGGGTGCTAAACGAGCCAAGGGCCTTACAGGGGTCTTTGGTTCGGCTCGTGAAGACCTGAGCTTACATGTCTAAAATTGATTGTTGAACCCATGCTTGGACTTGTATAAAAACTCGTTTAATAAAAATGTTTAAGGCTCTAATTCAAAGGCTCGGCCTTAGAGCCTCTCAGGCTTGCCTAATATATTAATTTTTTATTTTTTATTTTATATTTTTTGTATTACTTGTGATAACCCCCTCTCTCTCTCCTCAATCCATTTCATTCCA